AGTAAAGCATTTTTTTTAACGTTTTACTGACGATATTCTTCATACTGTCATGAAACACTGATCAAATACCGCTTATTTGCCTTAATTTGTCTCCCAGCTTTCTGACTCCAAATTATGATATATATATTTAATTTCGATGTTGACTTTCATGTTAAGTAGCACTCGACAAACTTAGTCAGATAAAAACCTATGTCAAAATACTACATAAATAAAATTACGTGGAAACAACTTCTACGTTCTATTCAAGACTAGTTCTCTCAACTTCAACGCGGAACAAGGAATACCCTTCTCATTCCTTGTTCCGCGTTGAAGGTATCTAAATAATTACAGAACGCGCATGTGTCTAAAATATAAAAATATTATTAAATACCAGGGAATTTTAAGTATTGGTCAAAAGTGTAGGCTGAATGGAAGCAAAATCCCAATTTTTGTTGATCATTTTGTTTCATGAATAGCAAAATACTTTAGATGTATTGGCGATTTTTGAAAAATAATTTGGATAATTTATTGCAGTATAAAATGATACCACATATAAATCTCTCGCTGTCTTGCAATTTGTTTTTTTATATGCTGTCTTGCAATTTGTTACTTATATGTGTATCAAGACAAAAGTGTGTCACCTATATGTGTTTCAAAAGCTCACTATTCGTGTCTTAGAATATTATATTTAGCAGATTAGGAATTGCTTTTCTTTTTTGAATATAGTGATTTTTTGGGGGTATGTATATATTTAATTCATTTATATTCAAATTAAAGCTATGCAAGAAAGTGGAGGACATTCTCATTCAACGGGTTATGAGTTGCATTCATTTTCTGAAGAAACTGCATTAAATAATAGTTGCAGTTTTAGAAAATGCTTTTGTTTTAACTAAAACTTCTATAATATTTTATTTGGTTACTACTAGAAAATCATAAATTTTTAGTTTGTATTCATAATTTCTTTAAGTGAATTCAATGCATATTTTTTTCCTTTATCCGTATGTTCATGATCTTTGGCAAAGAAATAGAGTTATATCCTAATTAATTAGTGCACCAGAATTTTTTTTTCTAATCAACACAAAAATTGCTACTTATTTAAGTACAAAATTAAATTTCAGGTGTGGTATTTTAGATATTTGGATTAAAAAAAAAAGATTGCTTCGGATAAAAATCTTATGTGCAATAAATTTATTTTCGAATATTGTTTAGGGGAAGTTAGGTAACTGACATTGTTTGTTCGAATATTTTAGATAATGAACGATATTTAATTATGATTATTATAACTTGAAACACTGAAAAATATTTTAAGTATTTTGACACTGATATTGATACGAATAGTAATAATAGTAGTTATGAAAAATGTTAAAAAGTTGAATAATAGTAAAACATGAAAGTTATGATGATAAACGGAAAAGGATATAATTATTAAAACGAAAATGAATGTATCAATGTAAGGAGAATAAGCATGATGTTGGACTGAGTTGTATTTTAAGCAACTAAAAATAATTCTCTGTTTAATTTTGTCAAAACATTTTTTTCTCCAACTGTATAGCTTTCGTTGAAACGTAGTGAGATAAACGAAAAAAGTAAAATTAGTTCACTAGTATTAAAGCAAATATGCATTTGGCCTAAAGAAAAAAAGACAAAGCAATTATCAAAGTTTTCCAAATATTTAAATAAGCTGCTGTCTCATTTTTCTAAAAATTTAGATTTCTACTGAATTATGATAAGTCTTTGTAAGATCTGATAATGACAAAAACATTTCATTATAGTGAATATAAGAAATTATAGTGTTGCCCTGTTCGTGCTCTCTTGATGTAATTGATGGCACGTCCAGCTAGCTGGTGGTGTAACTGGTGACATGTCCATTTGGAAGATTTTATGGTTCAGATCTCGAAAGCACAGCTGATGTTTCATGTTTCTTTCTTTCGGAAGCTGTACACAGTGACATTCTCATAAATTAAATAGATAATATGAAATAATAATACTTGTCTACAAATGCTTGAATACTGTGTTTTCTTTGTCAGATATGATATTGGTATATTTTTTATAAACAAAAAGAGCACTAAAGAAATGTTTACAAAAATCTGAAAAACTTCTTCTGAAGAGAGCAAATCCGAAGTAAATCAAGATTTTCTTGATTTGACAAAACTCAGAATTAGAGAACCAGCTTTATGAGTTGTGAATGTTTCATTGATGGTAACCTTAATTTAGTAAAAAGAAGTTAAGCTGAATACGTTAAATGAAATCCGCATGTTTAATTAAAAATGCTTCTGCAAATTTTAAGGCTCAAATTTCAAAAGGAACAATTGTCTAAAATTAAGTAGCCTATGATGCTTTTGGCTATAACTGAACAGTATATTCATAGCGATATTTCAGTCTTTGTTGGACAGTTTAAACAACACACCTATTATAACAGAAGCAAGTAAGTTTAAAAAGAGAAATGGCATATGACACAACAGAAAGAAAAGAATATCCTTATAAATGCCATTTTGAAATCATATGTTGTCCTTGAATATGAATGTAAGTTTTCTGTCTTGCCCTCGTCATTAGAATCAAATCAATAAACGTCACCGCTGTTCCTGCTCTGAAAAGTAGCAAAGAAACTTGCTTTAGGCCCTCTAATCAGTTTTCAGCTTGTAATGCTTTTGACAAGGACATTGATTTTTTGAAACTACCACCTATTATCATGAAATGCAGATGTTCTCATCGAGCTTACAAGGCACCGATTAGCAGACTGAGATTCGTCTCTATGATCAGCGACTTAGCACTTTGTTACGAATAACAAATTAGCTATGAAGAAGAAAACTTTGTTCCTCTGAATTTCATTATAATTCAAATGAGATAAATTACGTCTTGCTTCCGTGCAGTAATTCATTGCGACTTAAAAAATTTAGTAGTAAGGGGTACTACATAGGGGATTAACAACGGATTGCCAAAATGGGAGGATTTCAGAATCAGCAGAAATGGTTGTTTTAAAGGTAATTAACTATTTATCAGTGATAATTCATTTCATATTTTGTCAGGTCTGCAATATATTGATTAAGATGCAGTTTTTTGTGCTGTAACGGAGTTACTATATGATATCTGAAAAAATTTTTTATAATATTCAGCGTAAGATAGATGTAATTTTGCTGTTATTAATTTTTAATGTGTATTACCAAATTAATAAAACATTAAACCTTACTTTTCAGCAAAAGTGAATAAATACAAAGTGTAGGAAAATATGTATGCACCTTAAAAAAAGGTGAGCTACTGCCAAGAAACTCGCCACGCGGATGTCGTTTGAGCAGGTATGTAAATGATAAGAATTTTAATACCAGTAGAGTTATTATAGGACGCATTCAGTACGCATGCGAAAGGAGTATCGGGCAAATAATTAAAGGGATCGGAATTCTTGTTCACAGGAAATTTTAACTGTATTTTATGCTTTGGTATTGCAAGTTGTGAGCAAAGATGTTTTTGAGATGAAAGTGACAGCGCTAGAAGTAGTTGTTTGGTATAGAAAGAGGCTGAAGCATAGAAAGAAAGACTGACCCATCAACCATATTTGTTGCATCTTAGTTGGAGTGAAATGGTAGTTGATTGGGCTTGACTGCAGTAGATCAAAGAAAGCACATTCAACCGGCACAGAAGCTCAAGACGTCGTACACACGCCAAATTCCAGACAGGTTCGTTTAATCAGAAAAATCAAGCATGACCACACCAATGGTTCGCTATCATGTCTTCAAAGGCATTTGCAATTCCTTGTGAATCCTCTAATATGAAAAAGTGCAGTTCGGAGTCGCCTGGTAGATAAGGAAACCCAGTCTCGACACCCATTAAAGAAGCTACAACTGACCTCCTAATAGCCGCCTAAATTGGTTCCGATATCGGTCGTCTTAGGTCCCAATCCCATTATGTTTCGGCTACGAGAGACTGGACATCAAAAGGGACAATTCTCAGTACCCGCACATTTCCAGGAAACCCACGTAGCTAGATTACTATTTTCAATTACTACAAAGACTTGAACGCCAAACATTAATCGATTATCGCTCAGATTGGGATCATGTTATCATCCAGAAGCAGAACTTTCGTCTGATTAGTTGATCTCTATCCGGGACAGAGCTCCAGCCGAGACATTTTCGGTGAGGTTTGAAAAAAATCCCGCGTAGGCGCTACATCGTTTCCGTAGCTAGGCGGAACTTCGTTTCAGCGAGGCTCTTTTCTAGAGATCCTCCCGTTTAAACCAGTGCTACCAGAATCTTGTTTCTCAGAAAAGTCCAGTCTAGCAGGGACTGTCGCTAGAAGTGATAACCTCTTTAGACTTTGCCCAGATAAAGACACCTTGCCTTTAGAGATCAATAACATTTCTTGCAGTGCTGATGACTGTTACATACATCTGTGGAGGAGGCTTAGCCAGCATTCTAATTTATATTGCTGTCGGGTGGCACATGTTTATCACACCTTACAAAGTAAATGTAGCCTTTTTAGAATGATATTGATTTAGCTGATCAGCCACAAAATTCAGCAAAATCTTCCGTAGACGCAATTTGACTGACTCTATACTTTACCGAAAATCGACTTACTTAGCTAGCAGGAAAGGACTTACGAATTACGAAAATACAACTTTCTTGTAGCTACTATATCTGAATAAAAAAATTTCTTTTTTCCATTACAAAACTCTAAACATTTACATATCTCTTCAACGATACATATATGCCGAATTTCATGCCATTAGTTCAATTTTTTTAAGTGTGTATATTTCTTTTAAAACCCGCTGATATAAAGTCAACTGTGGCTAGAATTTAAGATACTTCACAAAATAATAATAATAATAATAATAATAATAATAATAATAATAATAATTTATTAATGTGTTTCAGTTCTTTTGTGTTAATGAAAATGAATGCGCCAAGACATGTTAATAAAAATGGACGCGCCATGGCACACATCGTGATGCACACGACACATATCGTGATACACACGACGCCCATGACAAGCCATGACACACAAAACTGAGCTACAGATACTTCAGAGACTGGCAAATAGAAACACAACTTTATTACCCTGTTCCAACATTTCTTTTTTATATCAGCATCATTCAACACATCAAACTGAATAATTGATGCTTAAATTTTATAATGAATAAAAATTAAATAACAAGTAAAAATACTGCCGGTATATTTAATACAGTTTCCAAACTAACATTGTTTAAATTTGAGTGCAGAGGAAATATTTTAAACTCAGACACAGTAGTAAGCACAAATTTACGCACACTGAAAATATACACAAGAAAAGCATCAAGAAAATATTCTTCCTGAAAGTAGGCACTCGGGATAAAGGCGTTTTAGTCCTTAAAAATATGGCCACTTAAGTGTTGCAGCATGTTCCTTCACTTTCACTTCAGATTCTAGAGGCATTGTATCTAATCAACACACAACGTTAACTCGTAAGACTTCCAGAGTAATCTTCATTGTATGTCATATAAGTCCAATAATTTGATTCACAGCCCTAGAAGTTAAAGAAAAAAATAGTTATTAATTTAAAAAGTAGTGAAATATAGAAGCTGGAAAAGTAATATTTATTCAATAAAAAAAAGAATATACTCCGTTAAAAAATTACGGTGACAAAGAAAACTGTCTATTTAAAAAGAACTTACGAGTATTATAATACGTATTATTACGCATAATTGATACAGTTAGAAGAGCCTATAAATATGAAGAGTTTTAAGCATCTGATTTCAATCGTTTTATGCGCCAGACTGGAGCACTCGAGCGCTGTCTGCCTAAAAGAACTTTTTTCGCGAAATTGGTTCGAATTCACATTACACATGAGGAAAATCGTAAAACTCCCATTCAGCCCAACTCATTGGCCAGGATTTGAACCCAGGTCGAACTTATCAATATTCGGCTTATCGTAGGCGTCTGATAACAAGAATTGGATGTTTTAGTTAAATCCTTTTTCTATTGGTAAATAACATATGAAAAATATCTCAAAAGTACAGTATTTTTTACACATTTATGTATACTGGTCTACGAATGAATTTCTTGAGTAAGGCTTAAAAAGTTCCACACGAAAGAATCACCCTTCTCTAGGCAGACAGCCCTACTACCATAATCAAATAATAAAATCCAGTCTAAGTAAGGTCCTTATCACATCTAGGGACGGTCCCTGCTAGACGGTACTTACAACAAGATTCTGGTAGCACTGGTTTAAACGGGAGGATTCCTAGAAAAAAGAGCTCCGCTGGAAGGGAAGTCCCGCCTAGATACGGAAACGATGTACCGGCTACGCGGGATCTTTTGAAACCTCGCCGAAAATGTTTCGGCTAGAGCTCTGTCGCAGGTAGAGATCAACCAATCAGGCGAAAGTTCTGCTTTTGAAGGATCACGTGATCACAATCTGAGCGATAATCTATTACTGTTTTACGTTCAAGTCTTTGTAGTAGGTGAAAATAGTAACCTAGTTACGTAGGTTTTTCTGGAAATGTGCGGGTTCTGAGAATTGTCCCTTTCGACATCAAGTCCCTCGTACAGGAAATATAATGCGATTGGAACTTAAGGGTTACAAGAAATAAAGAATAAAATAAGTTATTACTAAACTTTTAGCGGGAATACAGTAAAACTTTCAGGAAGACCAGTTTTGAAAGTGACCAAATTTTTGAGAGCATAAATAAAAATCGGTGATGATAATTTTAATACTTTCATTTACGAGGACTACAATGTTCAGTTTTTTTTTTTTTTTTTTTGTATTACCTACAATACCTTCAAACTAAAGTTCTAACAAAAGCACGAAACCTATTCATAAAGAATTACATTTCCAATTCTAATTTTAGCATGAAGTTTTTTAAATCAAAAGCAGAGTTATTTAGTTCCAAATTATTAATTTTATCCTTTTTTAAGATGGTGAAATTTGTGATTATGAGTTCGATTGAACTGTTCTGATGTAACACTCGGTAGACGACTCATCATATTCGGTCTTTGCTACAGAACTAGTTTACTACAGTTTCTGTACAGCTACTGCGGTTTCTGTAGCTGACATTTTAATTTCCTATTTTGGCATTCAATACTTTTGAAGTTACTATGCATAAGTCATGTTATTAATATACATGGTGATCCAAAAGCTACAGAAAAAATAAAAATTTAATTATTTCGAGAAATATAGGCAATAGCAAGGTGCGATTTTCAAAGAAATACAGAGAAAGGCTTTTTTTTAATAACGAAAGTTTTGTTGCAAGAATGATTACAATTTTTCTTACAGACGTACAGAGGTCGACCGACGTTATTGGCCATACAGAATGAAATCATTCGCCATCATGTTGTACGGTTTATTTATGTTAATTAACCAGTTATTTTATGTTCGAAACCTGTACTGTCACATCTCTCTTTACTTTTCCTGGAAGAATGCAAATTAGCTGGCCTGTGTTTAAGTGAGGATTTGAGATTGTTTAGACTGAGCGTGCTCTGCCTGCTGAGGGCCACGTTATTAGTTTGCTCCTGTCATCAGTGTTGCTTTATTCTTGCCGATAGTGCTTTCAAACCGGTGTAAGTAAGCTTAAGAGTCAACTTTAGAGTTTAAATTACTCTGCGTAGTTTTTGGCTAATTGAAACTTAGATTTTGAAATTAAATTTTACTATGAGTTCTCGCCATAAATGCTGACTGATTTGTAAGCACAAGGTGTGCCCTCTGTTCAGCTTACTTCGTTCAGCACTGAATATTTGCGGATTAAGAATTGTGCTCTTCACCGTACATAATTGATGTACCTCCTTTCGGTGAAAAACATAATTAATCTTGCAATAAAATCCTTCATTCTTAAAAATAAGATCTCACATCTTTCTGTGCGTTTCTGCAAAAATTACATCATGATACTTTTAAAATTGTTAAATTTTTACTTTTTCTGTGACTTTTTGATCCTCTGCTTGTTTTTCCATCTTTATTAATAAATTTTGTCTATTAAAATACCATTTACATTCACAAAATTAACTGTAGAGAATTACAGTTAATTAGTCTTCCTAAAATTAACTGTATTTCCGAAAAGTAACTATAAGAGAATATCCCAAGTTTTGTTTTATCACTATTCCTCTTTGTAATTAATTCGTAATTTTATTAACATTACGGTTTTAATAAACCCATTTACCATATTTTTTAATCACAATACTTTTCCTAACAATGCTCAGTAACGCCGAAAGCCTGGAAGATAATCATAATAATTCCGAAGTTTTTATGAAATAAATTCAAGCAGTCGGTTTCGTAGCAGAAGCACTTTTATTTGTTACTTAAAGTAGGCCAAAAACACACTGGGGGATATTTCTTTAAATTTTAGTGCTTTACAAAAATGAAATTTTATTAATGGGAGTCTGCGTCTATGTTGAAATGCCAAGATCTTTCTTTTTATGTCTGGAGCTAGAAAGAAGAAAAAACTAAGTATGAAGTATGAAAAAGAGATTTGAGTTCCACCCCCTTCCTGAAGGAGTTTCCATCTTAATAATAGTATTAATTATTAATAATGTTATCCTATGTAGGATTACATTACAGCTCTGCGCCTTTCTTTTATTAACATGATATCATCCAATTTATCTCGCTTGGGAAAGCCAAACTGTTGTACAGGTACATGTTGCCACATTTGGTTATTCTTAGAGGCCGTTAATTGGAACAGAAATAGGACTAGGCATGATGTAAGTTGAAATTGATGCGATAATTAGAGAATCTTCTAACTAAAAATAGGATTATGAAGATTTAATAAATAAGATTTTGAATTTCGTTTTACATATATATGTGACCAGGGAGCCTATTAATCTTAATCGCTTTAATTTTCGCTTTTATATTTAACGCTAAACGTCTTAAAAATTAAAAATAATAAAATTTAAGCTGGCTAATCTTTGAAATATGGTAACAGGTAGTTTGGCGACATTTTGGTAAGGCGATAAAGGTTACTAGCTAGGACTTTAGCAGTGTACATGGATAAAGTCAAGAGTGTGCGCAATGCCATTTTTGTGTAAGTCTGGGATGTTTTTCTAAGTGAAAATAGGTCGACGTGTGCATGGATACCGTGTATGTGCAATTCTTAAAAACGCGGCAAGCAGTGGGCGATTCTGCACTTTCTCCCAATTTCGCACCTAATCTCATGAATCTCTCGTCATGATTAAGCACTTTTGTTCCATAAAAGTTCTAGCAAAAGCGTAATTCGGCTAGCAGATTGTTGAAAAAAAATGTTGAGGGAAAAAAAAAAAAAAAAAAAAAATTACTTCGTGAAAACAAAATGGCGTCAAAAAAAAAAAAAAAAAAACTAGCAGGATGCTGTAGCAGGGTTGGTCGCCAAATTTTCGCCAAAAAATTGCCAAGTTACCATAATCCGAAGATTAACCTTTAAGCTTACCAAAAATCATAAAAATATTTAATTTAAAAATTCTTTCTTCTCCTTAACCTTTCTCAAGTTATGTTGACTTCCTTTAAATTTTTTCTAAAATTCTGTTCATGTATCGTTCCTGTTTCTCCTCATTATTTTAATATTATGATGTGGAGGTGGATGGACTTTTCCATAGGCACTAAGTAATATACAGGGTGTTTCATAGATCATGGGACAAACTTGTAGGGGTGGTGGAGCATACTAAAACATGCATTTTTTTATAGGACTGTAGGGTCTAAAGTGACGGGTTAAGGCAGGACGGGGGGGGGGAAGACGACACGAGAGGAAAATGTGTTTATGTACAAAATCAACGCAAAGTGCTTCTTTGTAGCAATAAAGTATTAACAATAAATGTTCAAAATTGCGACCACCAGCAGTAATACATGCTTGGTAACGTCGCAGAAGGGATTGACGAACCATTTGAAAAACGGCAGGCATTTCGGGCACGCTTGTAGCCGCAATGGATAGTCGTGCAACGAGGTCCTCCAGTGAGTCAACAGGAGTCTCATAAATGATGCTCTTCAGATGGCCCCCCCCCATAAAAAAATCCAAGCTGGATAAATCTGGCGAACGGGGTGGCCATCGAACGAGTCCACCACGGCCAATTCATCAGCCCGGAAATGTGCCATCCAAGTAATTACGGACTCGCACGTGGTTATAGCTGGTGCACCATCATGAACTGCTGGAATATATGCTGGAACCACATGCGATCACGAACGACAGCCGGAATATCCTGCAGCAATTCCGGTAGCACCTCTTGCAGAAAAATCTGATAACATAAGCCATTTGTACGTGCAGGTAAGAGGTATTGGCCTATGAGGTAGACGTTAACAATACCCGCCCACACATTCACGGAGAAGCGGGTTTGAAATGCATGTGGACGTGTGCCGTGTGGATTATGAGTTGTCCACACGTGCATGTTTTGGTTATTGAAGATGCCGTCCTGTGAGAAAGTTGCCTCGTTCGTGAATAGCACATCTGATGGGAAATCCGCCTGCGCCGCACACTGCTGCAAGAACCAATAACAGAAATGAACTTGAAGAGGGTAATCTGTCTCTTGCAAGGCTTGGAATCTCTGCAAATGGTATTGGTGCAAATCATTTTC